CGTATTAACAAAAAGTGAAAATCTAAATGATATAAATCCATACAAGTGCCGTACAGTATTATAATCGATATGGGTGAATCTCATTTCAGGTCAAAAACAAAAGAAGGAAATGTTATTTAATTTTTTTTAGTGTTGATATTGTTAACTGAAACTTTACATTTTTAATTTTCATTAACTAAAATAAAGCAGAAATAAAATTACATATATTAGGTGAAAAATGTAAACTTAAATGGAAATTAGACATTTTGCTTTGGCAACTAACTGAAATAAAATTATTTAAAATTACTATATAAAACTGAAATAAATATATATTAAAGCTAATTAGAAATAGAACAAAAACTAATAAAAATGGCAAAGTTCAAAGAAAATTATTACAACCAAAAATATAAAAATAAAAGCTAATTCAAAGTATTTAATGTACTAAAAATAATACAATATCTTCCCCGAGTTTTGCATTAGTGATGTGAAAAAAAAAATCATATGATGTACATATTCAAAATAAAATGGAAACATATTTTCAATATATACATTATAGTATTTATTGTACTGTCTTTAAGACTAATAGGAATAAAAAAAAAAATAGTAACATGTCTGGTCACATTATGGTAATGAGTAAAATGTGTAATAATGTATATAAATGTATAATGAATATTTTTCCTGATGTTAACACAAATGCCTCATTTGCTTTTAATTTAATTTTTTAAAAATATTTAAGTTTCTGTACTTATTTGCAATGTTCCCTCTAATTTTTTTTCTTGCTGAGCAAAACTTTTTCTTTTTTGGGCGGACATTTCGGCCACCTGAGCAAAAACATTCTTTATACCAACCAGACCTGTACAGCGCGCACACAAAAAGTGTAACTTTTAACTTTAATGTGCTATTTATATTTGATTTGACCCTTAATTTTAGGTTACGTGAGAAAACATTTTTTACAGTGCTGTTACCAAAAAATACAAAAAAAAAACACGCAGAACAGTTCACTTCTTTATAATAATATAATATGAAAAAACTGAGTTATTGCTCATGAATTCCCGTTTTGAGGTCAATTATTTATTAGGCTTATAATTATATAATATAATATAGTATAATATAATATAAAAAAAAAACATATTTTCAAAAACGTGAACATGTGAACTCTTACATAGTTATCTAAACATCCTCATGTATTAGAGCTTTCCCAGCTCTCATTTGTTGTGGATATATCCTTTTTAGTTCCTTGTCACAATTAAAGATTTCTTAATGTGAAGCCTGTCGAGAGCTGCTCCATTGATCTTCCATCTTTCTCTTAGTGTCAGTAATTTAGGGAAGCCGATGGGCCCATTACCCATGTACCCCGCAGCAGAAGATAACTATGGCTATGACGCGTGTGCTGTGCTCTGCCTGCCTTGTGTGCCAAACATTCTGGTTATTGCCACTGAATCAGGAATGCTGTACCACTGTGTGGTGCTGGAGGCAGAGGAAGAGGAGGATGGCGGAGTAAGACAGACCGAATTCAGTCATTCCATCCCACAGTTCATCAAACGCAGCTTGTCCAGTGTACGAGATGCTGAGCCCCTGTGTTTCTGTGCATTCAGGCTGTAGAGAGATGGTCCAGAGGCTCAGAGACGGTGCCTTCGCTTTATGTGTTTGAGTGTGTGGAGCTGGAACTGACACTCAAACTGGCTGCTGGGGAGGAGGAAGAGGAGATTACAGAGTCAGATTTCACCTGTCCAATCAGATTACACCGAGGTGACACAAGCACTCGCCACACACAGAGACTACATCCTAATTTAAATACTTATATTACATCATAATATGTACTTTGATGGTGATGAGAATCAGATTGCTTTTGGGTATGTTGTAGTATGTCATCAAATTATACAGGGCTTCTGCGGGGCATTGAAAATAAATAAAAGTCATTAAATGAATTTAGCGAAAATTAAGGCCTTAAATAGCATTAAAAATAATTTAATTGTATTCCTACAGGCATTAAAAGTTTTTAGATGGTTTTGAAGAAAAATAATATTAACAAAAATTCATTCATTTATTTTGAATGTAGCCTTCATAATAAGCTAACTTTTTAAAGTTGGAAAGAAATGGTGAAGTGCAACTGAGCAATTTTGGCGAGAATGATTCCGATTTTATTACATTCAGTGTAAATGATGATTGATAATGAATAGTGTATTGACAGTAACAAGGCCACGCAAGTCTGTGTATGAGAGAGAGAGACTCTCTTGGAGAAATCAAAACAATTTTTTTGGTTAAAACATATGATATAACCTAGTTAAGCAACATGAGACGGCCAAGAGAGTGCTGTTTCCAGAATATCAGCACGATTACAGATTTGACATTGATTTTATTTATTCAATAAACAAGTAGTTAACATTAGGTGACTTGCACACAGCGGTGTTTCATGACGGAATGATTCAGTGTTTTTGAATTAATCATTCAAGTCAATGATTCAGTGATCCATTCATAAAGACGGGCACTTGCTTCATTCTTTAATGAATCAGCCGTCTGAACGAATCTGTTGAACTAGGGCTGGGTGGTATGACGGTATATATAGTTACCGCGGAATAAAGTGTCTATCGTTAGAGATTTTGCTATAACGTGTATTCAGCGGTGTGCAAATATATCTGCGTAACATACTGCTTAAACGTTATATTCACCTTTGAGTGATAAGGAAACATGCATGAATGAGGAAATAAAGAGTGACGCACTTGATCGAGTTATTAAGTGCAATAACCAGTGAAAAAGAACTCAATGCTGTGCCCGCGCTGACTGACACACACGAAGCACAACTCAGAAAGTGCCTCTCTCAGACAGCATGCGATCGCGAAAACAGATCTCTTTCCTGTTTTATTGTGCTTGAATGGTCAAATACGCACACAGTTATGTCATAATACCCGTCGTGTGGAGTATTCAAGTAAACACAGTCGGTTAGGTGTTAATTAAATGTAAACAGTTGGGTGAAAACCAGATGTGTTTCAGTATATTGGATTGATCTTAAAGGGACAGTAGCCTTATTAACCTGCTGCTGTCTGTCATTATTAATGTTAATCATGTTTGATTGATGCAGTGTTTTATTTATACACTTTATTCAGTTTCTGTAATATTTCTTACTACATGTTAAATAAACCTAGCCTACTGTAGCTGAATAAATTAAAAGTTTATTTCATATTTATTTGTTCTGTTGTGCTTGTAATTTGCTACTTTTTCTTAATTTTAATAACAAAAATAAAATAAAAATAGCTATATTGAGGTACATATCGTTACCATGAAATAACATTTCTCATACCGTGAAATAAGATTTTGGTAATATTGCACACCCCTATGTTGAACTAATGACTCAAATGTTGACTCAAATAAACAGTCACTTGGCGCCACCTACTGGCGGTTTACTCTCCTATTTAAAAAATATTGTATTCAACAATTGAATACAATTGTTCTTATTCAACAAGGACACATTAAATTGATAAAAAGTGACCATAAAAAAATTCATAATGCCACAAAAGATTTTATTTCAAATAAATGCTGTTATTTTGAACTTTCTATTCATCAAAGAATCTTGAAAAATTTAATGTATCACGGTTTCCACAAAAATATGAAGCAGCACAAATGCTTTCAACATTGATAATAATCAGAAATGTTTTATGAGCAGCAAATCAGCATATTAGAATGATTTCTGAAGGATCATTTGACACTGAAGACTGAAGAAATGATGCTGAAAATTCAGCTTTGAAATCACAGGAATAAATTAGATTTTAAAGGGTCATATGATGCGATTTCAAGTTTTCCTTTCTCTTTGGAGTGTTACAAGCTCTTGGTGCATAAAGAAGATCTGTAAAGTTGCGAAGACTAAAGTCTCAAATCCAAAGAGATATTCTTTATAAAAGTTAAGAGCCAACCACACCTACCTAAAACGGCTCGTTCTAACACGCCCCCACATATCTAGGTCACTATGTGAAAATATTAGCATAATGCAGCCCAAATGTGCACGCAAAGAAAGAAGGCGTGGTTTCAGGAACAGCAGTAGTGTTGATGCAGCCATGTCAGGGAGACGATGTGTGTATCAGTGCGAAAGCAAAAGCACTTTATTTGGCCTTCCGGAAGTAGATGCAATTAGGAATCATTCGTTAAGATTTATTTACAACAGAACAGCACAACCCAGATGTTCGAATTTGTGCAACGCATTTTATGGACGACAGTTTTTTGAACCTAGAAGAGTACAAGGCTGGCTGTGCACAAAGAAAAAAAAAAAAAAAAGGGTAAATTCCGACTTTGCTATGACAATCTGGCGCTTCTGAATCAGCGACTGTAAGTATGTTTTGTTACTAGTTTAAGTATTTGCTATTGACTGTTCCAATGTGGAGTTTTGCGCAGCACAGAGTAACGCGTCGTGTGTGTGTGTGTGTGTGTGTGTGTGTGAGGGGAACAGGGTCACATCACAGGAGCATGAACTGCCTGTCAGAAATCATAGCAGCTGTCTTTACCACGGCTTGTGTACTGCTTCATCACTGTGTCTGTCATGCGACTCTGTTGCCCTTTCTGGCTTGAACTGATGGTAAAACTAACGACATTATTAACTGTCTTGATATTTACTTTGAAAGCTGACGCTCGCGATTATGGTAAGGGGCGTTACATTTCCGACGCGTGCTTGTGGTGTTCGGCCAATCACAATGCACTGAGTCAGCTGGCCAATCAGAGCAGACTGCGCTTGTCAAAGGAGGGGGCTTTGTAGAAAACAACGTGTTTGAGAGAGGCGGGGCATAGAGGACCTACAATAATGTACAGTATTTGAAAAATAATGTGTTTTTTTAACATTAAAAAATGTTTGGTATACACATTTATATGACCCCTTTAAAATATATTCACATAAAAAAACTTTTATTTTGAATTGAAATTACTATTTTTTAATTATTACTATTACTGCAGCCTTGGTGAGCAGAAGGCACTTTTTTCAAAAACATTAAAAGACCTGTAGCGTGTGTAAATTTGTAATCTATTGACAGCCCATATACGTATATATATATATATATAATCAAAAAATGCTGCTTAATAATTTTGTGGAAACTGATATATTTTTTTCTGAATTCTTTGGTGATTGGAAAGTATACAATTTATTTGATGCAATGTTTTGTAATATTACAAATGTTGTTACTGTCATTTTTAAAAAATAATTTAATGCACTCTTGCTGAATAAAAGTATGAATTTTTGTCCAAAACCTTCTGTTTCAGACCCTCTGTGTCAGCACAGGTACCACTGCACACATGAGGCCGGTGTACACAGTGTAGGACTCATCTGGTTCAAAAAACTACACAAGTTTCTGGAGTCTGGTGAGTATAAGCTTTACTTGCAACATTTAAATATTTACGATTACAGAGTTTGAAGAACTCAGTTTGTGTGTTTTATGTGCAGATGAGGAGGATAAAGACAGTCTGCAGGAGCTGGCAGCAGAGCAGCGCTGCATAGTGGAGCACATCCTGTGCACCAGACCTCTCGCTAACAGGTAGAAGAAAGCTCACAGGAAGCTACAGTTAAAGCTAAAACCCAGATCTCTTGTAAACAAAAGCCCAATTTGCAGAGGTTTAAGAAAACCTTAAGGGACGATGAGTAAGCGCCGTAGATTACTGGTGGTTATTAAAATTCTCCTCTTGTATTATCTCTCTCTCAGTTTGCCGGCTCCTGTTCGTGGGTTTTGGATAGTGTCAGACCTGTCCCTGGGAGCCACCATGATCTGCATCACGAGTACCTACGAGTGTCTCCTGCTCCCTCTGCTGTATGTGACAAGCACACTCTGGCTCTTTCCCTCTTTATTAGGTCAGGGTTTCCCAAATGGATGTTTGTGAGGGAATTTCAGGGGCTGTGTTAGTTGATGAAAAGCTAATGAATTATATTTGAACGTAAAATTTAAATAAATAAATTAGGTGCACGATTTTCGTAATATAGCTTAATGCAATTATCAAATCAAAGACTGCAGTTTAATTAAACAACTGTCTGATGTGCTGCTTATTTCTGAGTGAAGCATTCAGTTTATTTCAGTATAATTATCAGGGCCTGTATTCATGAAAATTCTTAGTGCACAGAGTTGCTCCTAGTGACAAAATTATAAGAAAATTCTTAGAAAAAAGGGGGCGTTTCCCCTTAGAATTAAAGAGTTAATAAGACACTACAGATTAGATTGTGCAGGGATCATGTTTGTGACTGATCTTATTGGAGGCACCACAACATCTCTCTGTCAATATGGGGTGCTGTGTGTACATTAACGAGGAAAAAAATTAACTTAAATGATTTTAGCAAATGGCTGCAATATAACAAAGAGTGAAAAATTTAAGGGGGTCTGAATACTTTCCGTACCCACTGTATATATATATATATATATATACACCTGTATGTGTGTGTGATTAGGGTAAAATAGGAAATAAAAAAGACCCTATTTAAGAGCGCTCTTTATTTATTTATTTTTTCTTCTTGGACAACCAATCACAGTCTTCCAAAGATTGTGTCATACCTAGCAACGGGGTCAGCCCCGCCGCCGCCTCTCTAAGATGAAAGTTTTTGTCTTTTCCTCGCTCGGAGTTGCTCTCAGATCGGTCCTGAATCACTCTTAAGCTAAGATTCCTAGTTAGACATTTTTAAGCTAAATTAGGAGCTCTCTGAGAGGATTCTTAGAAGCTTTAAGAATACCGGCCTAGATTATTATTTTTTTTATATTTTATAAAAATAAAAAAAAAGCATTTGATTTCTGTCAACATTGTATTTGTCTTCATTTGTATAATTAGTGTTAAATCATACTAATAATAATAATTATCAACATCGGATAATATGCAAATGTGTTCTTAAATTATTGAAATACTAACTTAAAATCTCAGGGGTTGCTTCAAGTAAATATTTTACGGGGTTTATATATTTTATGGGGTTCAGCTGACAAAAACATTTGGGAATCCTTGTGATAGATTACAGTTGAAAGTAAATGACTTTTTTATGAAAAAATCTGTTTTTTATGATCTTATCTGATTATATAAGATTTTCTTTTTAAATGTCCGATTAGAAGCTCTATTCGTCCACCGTCCCCTCCATTGCTCTGCTCTCATCCGGGGGCGGGGTCAGGAAGCTCTCCTCTGCGTGGATTGGCTGAAGACTCCTTTGAACAGCATATTCGCAACATCCTGGCACGCAGCTCAACCAATCCATTAATGCTGAGGTAAAATGTGACCGCTTATATTAAGTTTCATTTTTTAAAAGCAGCTAAAACTAACTTAAGATGGTTTTACATGGTTCTAAATGATTGATCACCTGCACTGTTAGCTGGAAGACCTGGTCTTGACCTGCTAGATCATCCTGGTCTAACCCGTTAGGGCTGGTAGACCATCTTGAACCAGCAACAAACCACCTACCATTTTCAATAATGCAGCTTAAGCACATCAAAATGTTTTATTACATTATATTACACTGGTTTGTAATATAAAGCTTTATGAATGGACATTACCGAGGCTGTTACATTCTTATGTGTGTGGTGTTTTGTGTGTGTATTTTAGGGCGGGTGATAAGGACTTGTCTCCTCCTCCTCCAGAATGTCTGCAGCTGTTGAGCAGAGCCACACAAGTGTTCAGAGAGGAGTACATCCTCAAACTGGGCCTGGCTCATGAAGAAATGCAGAGAAGGTACAAGATATAATGGTTTTAGGTCAATTTTATTAACAGCTGATATTACTGAAAATTATTTGAATGAGCAGTAGTGTACATCTAAATATGCTTAAGGGTGTGGGGTCACTATTTTTTCTTAGCGTGTGTGTATAAAAATATATTTATCAAGGATGCAGTAAAACTTACTGTTTTTTTCATTATGACAGTTTATAGAAAAAAACAGGCTCATCTTCCACAATCAGATCAATATTGTACAATAAATAAACTGCAAATATGTAAAGCATGTGTAATGTAAAACTGTAAATAGAATAGAAAATTAGAAGTTGATATTACTGAAAATTATTTGAATGAGCAGTAGTGTACATCTAAATATGCTTAAGGGTGTGGGGTCACTATTTTTTCTTAGCGTGTGTGTATAAAAATATATTTATCAAGGATGCAGTAAAACTTACTGTTTTTTTCATTATGACAGTTTATAGAAAAAACAGGCTCATCTTCCACAATCAGATCAATATTGTACAATAAATAAACTGCAAATATGTAAAGCATGTGTAATGTAAAACTGTAAATAGAAAGGAATAGAAGTTTGGGCTCAGTAAGATTTATTTATTCTAAAATTAATACTTTTATTCAGCAAGGATGCATTAAATTGATCAAAAGTGACAGTAAACATTTGTAACAGAATATTTCTATTTCAAATAACTGCTGTTCTTTTAAACTTTATATTCATCAAAGAATCCTGAAAAAAAGTATCACACTTTCCACAAAAATATTAGGCAGCCCAACTGTTTTCAACTGTAATAATGAATGTTTCTTGAGCAGCAAATCAGCCTATTAGAATGATTTCTGAACACTTAAGGCTCACTGAAAATTCAGCTTTGCCATTACACAAATAAATTCAATGGAAAAATGTTAAAAGGGTTGTTTTATCATGTATTATTTCAAAATTTTTACTGTATTTTGATCAAATAAATGTAGCTTTGCAAATCAGCCTATTAGAATGATTTCTGAACACTTAAGGCTCACTGAAAATTCAGCTTTGCCATTACACAAATAAATTCAATGGAAAAATGTTAAAAGGGTTGTTTTATCATGTATTATTTCAACATTTTTACTGTATTTTGATCAAATAAATGTAGCTTTGGTGAACAAAGGTGACTTCTTTTAAAAACATTAAAAAAATAAAAATAAAATCTTGCTGCCCAAAACTTTTGAATGATAGTATATAAATGTACTGTAGCATTTCCATTTGCACCATGGTATCAATGCAGTTCTATTTTCCAGTCATAGCACTTAATGCTCTAATTTAAATCTGAATATGAATTATGCTCAGTGGAGTATAAAAGTAACTATAGTTTTGTTCTACATAAACGGCTTAATATAAAATTTCATCATTAGTAGTGTGAAATTGTTGCAGTAACAACAGCTGTGATAATTCATTACATTATTGTCCCCTTTTCAGAGTAAAGCTCCTGACCAGCCAGAAGAATAAGCAACTGGAGGATCTTGCTCTTTGTAGAGAAGAGAGGTGACCACAGCATTGCCTGAATATCACTAATCACAACCACACATACAGAAACACATTTAGCTCAGTTGAGTCGCTGGGAAGAACTAAATGTATGAGTACTACAAATAGAGCAAAACCTCATGTTATTATAGTGTAGTATAATAATATGTAGTGTGGTAGACAGTGGAAATATATGAGTGGGCTCAGAACAAAAGTGTTATTAATGCTGTGGTTTACAGCATAGGTGCCTATGCTAAAGATGTGGTGGTGTGTTGTAGAAAAAGCCTGAGGGAGGCTGCGGAGCGGCTGGCTGATAAATATGAAGATGCCAAGTATCATCAGGAAGCCATCATGAACAGGTTCACCTTTCTTTGAATTTAGTGAAATGGGCATGTTTTTCTGAACTCAAAACTTCCTCTTCAGTTAAAAAAATTATTATTTATTGTAACTAAACTGCAACCACGTGTGTGTGTGTATATATAGAGTAAAACAGGTTTTGGGAAGTCTGCGGAGTCAACTTCCTGTGCTGTCAGACAGTGAGAAGGACATGAGAAAGGAACTGCAAACCATCCACGATCAGCTCCGTCACCTTGAAAACGGCATTAAACAGGTCTGTTTTGGCAGCCTAGTTTGTTTTGGCAGTGTTCCTCTGTTGCCATGAGCAGAGCAGATGTATGTCATTGTGTGCTGTAATGTGTTATCAGGTGAACATGAAGAAGGAATATCAGAAGAAGCAGATGAATACAGGAGCATCTCCGGCTCGCTCCAGTCTCACACTCAATGCCCACCAGAGGAAGTGTGTCCAGGGAGTGCTGAAAGAACAGTATGTACAGAGAGTTACCACCTGCTTTCTCTTCACACATACACCAAAGCACCAAATGCCAGTGCTAGTATGCACCATTCATACTGTAAAGTGATAAGCATGTATTAGACAACGCTTTACAGAGGTCTGTTGTTGGACCATGATCATCTCTTATCTCTGTGTGATCAGGTCATATACCCGCAACCAAAAGAAAAATAGAAATGACACATTGTTTTATAGAACCATGACGGTGTTCTACAAGACTGCAAAAACAGAATTGTCTGGAGCTAATCTGTTACACAAGAAAATCCCTGTTACTGTTACACAGTAGACTCATTCCTGTTACTATTATGCAAAAATAAATTCCAGTTACTGTTATGCAGAAGAGTCATTCCTGTTACTTTTACACACAAAAAGTCCCAGTTACTGTTACGCAGAAGAGTCATTCCTGTTACTTTTACACACAAAAAGTCCCAGTTACTGTTACGCAGAAGATTCATTCCTGTTACTTTTACACACAAAAAAAATCCCAGTTACTGTTACGCAGAAGATTCATTCCTGTTACTTTTACACACAAAAAAAATCCCAGTTACTGTTACGCAGAAGATTCATTCCTGTTACTTTTACACACAAAAAACATCCCTGTTACTATTAGGGCTGGGACAGCTTGTTTTTTTTATGCAAAAAAAAGAAACCCTGTTACTGTTAGGGCTGGGACAATAAATCGATGCATCGCGAATCGAGAAATGATTCCGCATCGATTCTGAGATTTTCCGAAGGCATCGCGATTCTCTCTTGAATTGATTCTGAGCTTAGTTTTTGACAACAGATGGCACTGCGTGCTTTAGAAATAGCTGTATTCTGCTTGATTCCAGTTCCTCCTTTTACACAGAAGACTCATTCCTGTTATGCAAAAACTCATGTTACTGTAATGCAAAAAATAACAAATCCGTTACTTTTACACAGAAGACTCATTCCTGTTACTGTTACGCAAAAAGAAACGCATCCCTGTTATCATTACCCAAAAGTCTCATCCGTTACTGTTATGCAAAGAACAAAAACAAAATCCCTGTTACTTTTACACAGTAGACTCATTCCTGTTACGCAAAAAAAAACAAATCCCTGTTATTGTTACACAGAAGACTCATTCCTGTTAGTTCCATAAAAAATACAAATCCCTGTTGCTGTTACACAGAAGACTCGTTCCTGTTACGCAAAAATTAATTCCTGTTATTGTTACACGGAATGCTAATTCATGTTACGCAAAAAACACATCACTGTTACACAACACTCATTCCTGTTACTGTTATGCGGGGGGGGGAAATCCTGTTACTGTTACACAGTAGACTCATTCCTGTTAATTTTATGCAAACATTGTTAGTGTTACCCAAAAGTCTCATCCGTTACTGTTATGCAAAAAATAAACAAATCCGTTACTGCCACAAAAAAAACTGTTAGCATAATGCGCAAAAAAAACTTAACCGATACAGTAATGTTTAAAAAAAATGTATGTAAAGGAATACTTATACACATTTACATGCATGTTATTTGTATCTTTTTAATTGTATAGTCAAATAAGAATCAACTAAAAGTCAAATTCTCCAAAGAGAATTGGAGGAGGATCCTACTTTTTTTTTTTTTTTACATTTTTATCACATATTAGATGTGTATTTGACACTTGTGTTAGTCCAGTGATCCTGAACTGCTTGGTTCTGTCCTGCAGGGGAGAGCACATCGCTGGCATGATGAAGCAGATCAAGGACGTTAAGAACCATTTCAGTTTCTGACCATCAGCAATCAACAGTCTTCAAAGGCTACAGAAGAGCCAAATAGCATCTTCGTAGAGCTCCTTTAAAGGACAGTACTTGACCCAAACCTCTCACATTCAGAAGTTCTTGAAGAAGAAAATTGCTGGGATTTTGGTATAAACTAGTTTGTCTATTTTTTATTTATTTATATATAAGTAGTATGTACATGTACACATCTCCTTGACAATAAAGAGTTTTGTACATTGAAGTGACTCTTTCCTCTGTATGTTGCTGTGAGAGTTTATCAGCTGTGAGACAGTAGTGTTGGGCATTGGGGTTATTTCCTGAACGGAGACTATGGCTTATCTGAAGAGGTCATGCTGGATATGAAGACTTCTCCCTCTTTTCCTTCCCACCTCTAATCACAATGTGGAATGTGACGATGGAAGAGATCGTGTCAAGAACAAGAAGCTTGTACATTTACTGTAGTGGAGGGAAGGAATGTCCTGGGTTCAGTACACGTTGAGCTCTACCAACAGTGTCTGCTGTTTACCACCAGAGTTCATTTTGTCTGTACGCTGTCAACGTTTCAATTTTGACTGTCAAAATTTTTCTCGATTTTGGCCTGTCAATTTCCACTTTTTCTCATTATGATCTCAATTTTTACTTTTTCCCCCCTCAATTTCAGCTTATGTCTGTTCCGCCATCTCAGTTGACTTCATCATGAGATAAAAAGTCAGTTATAACTTGATACGCATTCATAGAAAGTAATTTTTTGTCATTTGATCCGTCAATTTTAACTGTCATTGACTTTTTGTCTCATAATTGACTATTTCAATTTTGACTAATAATGACTTTTTCATAAGATTGACTTTGAAAACTTTTTTTTCTTCCTGTTTTGGCTTATGTCCATTTGAACTTTTCCCTCATAATTATGACTTGTCAATTGACTTTTTATTTCATAATTGACATTTTTCTCAATTTCGATTTATGTCAATTATAATTTGTGTGTCATAATTTTGATTTACCAAAGCATGACTGACATTTGTTTTGGAAATTATATTACACTGTTAAATGTAAACATTAAAACATCAAATGCTTTAAAAACAATAACTAAAGTCGTATATTAAACATTATACATGTTGACATGAGATTAATATGATAGTGGGAAGGGGGTGAAAAAGGGAAATGGATCGGCAACTGACTACAAATCTACATAAAACTTAAGTTTCAGATTGTTTTATTATATAGATATGTACATGGGTATGTACACAGTACAGTATATACATCTGCAAGGGCTTCTGCATTTGCAACAGCATGCAAAGAACAGAAATATAACTGTTGCCCAGAACAAATGACTGTCATGAATTATAACTTATACTGACCGGAGAAAAGTCTATTTAAAACAATTTTCATTAAAAACAGTAGTCTCCTTGCCCCACATCAGTTATTAGAGTTCAAGCAGTGTCTGCTAATGAAAAATGTAGTTCCTAAAATACTCCGTCAAAACCACTGAAGTGAAATGCTTCTGTTGCTCTAGTGACACATGAAGCCATTGAAGTAGCAATTACATGAAGCTTACGTGTGTTTGCACAGGAACATGTGAGCGTTATGAAGTGCAACTTACAGATAACAAAATCAAATAACACCACAACACACCTGGTCATAATATAATGGACATTCACACAGGAAAGCTTCATCCTCATCCTCATCAGATCACAACAGCAGCACTGGTCATACTATAGTAGCGTTGTTAAAGTTCTGTGTACTCATCAGATGTAGTTGATAAAGAGGTTGGGTTTGCTCAGGAAACAATTCATTGTATTTATCAAGCTGCACATTTTAATAAATGGAATATTTTGACTGAATTAAGATTTCCATTGACATTGACACTGACAACTTCCTCTCTTTTAATTACAAAATTAGCAGACATAATGTTCAACATGCAGGTACATGGCTTTAACTATCCATTGTTTTCACATTTTCAGCCAATTTTCGTTCTCAAGCCGTGGGTGCTTTTTAAGGTTAATTCTACAGCCCGACCGATTTTATATTTTATTTTAAAAAGACCATGCCATAATCACATGCCACTTTAGGTCTTGTAAAAAAACAAACTGAATTTTTGCCATTTAGACAACTGAATATAAATCACACTTTGCACTCGTTTCCTGCAGTTGAGTTACACCGCCTGGAAACCGTTATTTTAAAATAAACATGAACCAGAAAATGATTTAAGCCCTTGTTTCCCCCTTTTCTCATTATGATTATGATTTAAACTATCCAAATCTGCTGCTTCGAGAATTTAAGGTCAACATGATCAACTTTGGTTCAGCGAATCCCATTCGCTTTTCTGTTCACGTCACACATAAGACAGACACAGACATGGTACACAAGATGCCCCTTAGTCCCACAGGGCATCACAATGACTGTAAATCATAAACATAGTGTGCTTTCATTAATATACACTCCGTTATAACTCGGTCAGTGTAAGTGCTGTTGCCGTATACTTGACACAAATCAAGCGAATGTCAAAATCTGACCAAAATCTGTAAAAATATTGTGTTTGCAATATTTTTCTGAAAGAAAGAAAATAATTCTTACACAGAAAAATATGCAAAAACATCAGTCAGTTCCAAGAAAAGTAGCAGTAGCTTCAAGCAAAGGACATCGATTTTGTTAAATTGCCAGGAAGTGGGGGGG